ATGAGGCCCTGAGTTTGATTCCTCAGCACCACATAAGCAAAAAAGAAAAAAAGCCGGAAGTGGCGCTGTGGCTCAAGTGGTAGAGCGCTAGCCTTGAGATGAAGAGCTCAGGGACAGCGCCCAGGCCCAGAGTTGAGGCCCCATGACCGGACCCCCCAAAAAAAAAACAAAAACAAGAAATGTTCCTTTTATTCCTATTTTTTTCCAGCACTTTTAACATGAATAAGTGTTGTATTTTATCAAAAGCCTTTTCCGTGTCAATGGAGATAATCATGTGGTTCTTGACCTTGGATCTGTTGATGTGATGGATTACGTTTATTGATTTACATATGTTAAATCATTCCCTGAATCTCTGGGATGAAGCCTACTTGATCATAATGTATGATTTTTTTTATACGTTTCTGGATTCTGTTGGCTAGAATTTTATTGAGGAGCATTGCATCTGTGTTCATCAAAGAAATTGGTCTGTAGTTCTTTTTTTGTTGGGTCTTTGCCTGGTTTGGGGATGAGTGTGATATTGGCTTCATAGAATGAATTTGGGATTGCTCCCTCTGTTGCTATTTCTCTAAAGAGCTTGAGGAGTATGGGTATTAGTTCTTCTTTAAAGGTCTTATAGAATTCTGTAGTGAATCCATCTGATCCTGGGCTTTTCCTTTTTGGAAGGCTTCTGATTGCTTCTTCTATCTCATTGTAGGTTATTGGCATATTTAATTGATTTATTTTTTGTTGGTTCAGTTTGGGTAATTTGTATTTCTCTAGAAATTCATCCATTTCTGCTAGGTTTTCTTTCCTTAGTGAGTATAGAGTCTGAAATAGTTATTTATAATTGTTTGGATGTCTTGGATGTTTGTTCTAGTTTCTCCTGTGGTATCCCTGATCTTATTGATTTGGGTCTCTGTATAAAGACATTTTTATCATTTTCATAGCTGTTTAGGAAACACTACAGAGAATAGTAATACGCCTTTTTTTAAATACTGTTTTATTCATCAAGCCAGGAAGTGCTCTTATGTATATTTAGGTTGGATGTTCAGCAATTTCAGTAGTATTTATCTTTTTACAACAAAGAAATTGGGTCTGTAGCCACACTACTTCCTCTAATTACAATGGATGAGCCTTCAGTTTAGTAGTATGTCTTCTTTTGGTAGTTATTCCAAAAAAGTAGTATATATTTTGAACATACTAAACAGCTACGAATCTGACTTCCATCTATAGTTTTATCACTATTAGAAACTGAATCATTTTGAGACATTGAATCATAATATTATGGTTTGAGTTCATGTGTTGGTTCTCAATGTGGCATTGTTGGGAAGTGGTAAAACTTCAAGTAATAGAGACTAGTATATATAATTGCAGAGTGATAAACATTTTTAAACTTTAGAAGAGGAAAATGATACTAAATTCCAGTAAAACTTTATTTTAATGAAGTATCCAACTTAGAATGAGTTATTTGAAAAAATGAACACCAGTTTTTTTTAGAATGGAATCTTTTCCAGCTTTTTTTTTCTTTTTGCTTATGTGGTGCTGAGGAATCGAACCCAGGACCTCATGCATGCAAGGCAAGCACTCTACCACTGAGCCACCTTCCCAACCCCTACATTAGCTTTTTTGTTCAGAGCTGTCACTCTACCACTTGAGCCACAGCTCTGCAGATAATGGCTTCAAACTGTGATCTTCTATTATCAGCCTCCTGAGTAGGGAGGATTATAGTTCATTCTTTTATGAACTCATTATTAGGAACTATGCTTTTTAAAAAGTTTGAAACTTGTTGGCCAAATTACAAAATATGAATATAGGAACTGTTTTTGAACAATTAATTGGTATTGAACAGATAAATATGGAAATTTTGAAGCTGTTTTCTTGGTTGTTATAGGATAAAATAATCTATACATCTTTTTAACTGTAATGGTGAAAGCTTACGAAAGCAAGGGAAATTTTGTAGAAAAAAGTAAAGAGGAATTCTGAAGTGAGATAGGTGGTGAACAAATAGCAATTTAGATGGAATAATTAAGGAATTGAGCCTTTCTACTCAATGTGTTTGTAGAAAGTTGCTATAGGTATTGAGGTTTAGAACTTGGGTATATTAAGGAACAAAATATGTTTTTAAAAAAGAAACTGTAAGGGGCTGGGAAGGTGACTCAGTGGTAGAGTGCTTGCCTTGTATGCATGAGGCCCTGGGTTCAATTTCTCAGCACCACATAAGCAAAAAGAAAAAAGCCGGAAGTGGCATTGTGGCTCAAGTGGTAGAGCACTAGCCTTGAGCTGAAGAGCTGAGGGACAGCGCCCAGGCCCAGAGTTCAGGCCCCATAACCAGACCTCCTCCCCCCCCCCCAAAAAAAAAGACAAAAAAGAGACTGTAAGCCTGGTGCTGGTGGCTCATGTCTATAATCCTAGCTCCTCAGGAGGCTGAGATCTGAGGATTGTGGTTCAAAGCCAGCTCAGGCAGCAAGGTGTGGGACTCTTATCTCCAATAAACCACCAGAACACTAGGAGTGATGCTATGCCTCAAAGTGGTAGAGCATTCACCTTGAGCTGAAGAGCTCGGAGACAGTGCCCAGCCCAGAGTTCAAGCCCCACAACCGACCAAAAAAAAAAAATTAAAAAACAAAACAACAAAAAGACAGAAACTGAGCAGGGCTTCAGTTGTAATCCTAGCTATACAGGAGATTGAGACCTAGAGGATAGAGATTCAAAGCCAGCCAGGGCAGAAAAGTCTGCAGTACCACTTCCGTTTTTCTGGTGGTTGACTGGAGATCAGAGTTTCATGGATGTTCTTGCCCAGGCTGGCCTTGAACAAGGATCTTCAGATCTCAGCCTCCTGAGTAGCTACGATTACAGGTGTGAGCCATCAGTACCTGGCTGAGTCTTGATTTTTAAGACTAGGCTCATGTCAGACCATGATTTCTCCAGTTTTTAGGCTCCTGAGTGGCTAGGATGACAGATGTGAGGTACTGATATTGAGCTTCAAATTCTTTCTTTCGCGCACGTGCGCGCGTGCGTGCGTGTGTGTAGGCGGGGTGGGGGGCGGGGAAGATGAGGTGCAATACCAAAGCTTGAACACAGTGCTTTGTGCTCTCACTTGGCTTCTGCTCGTGGATGGTGCTCTACTAATTGAGTCCAGCATTTTACTGGTTAATCAGAGATTAACCAACTCAAGTGCTTGCCTTCAGCTGAAGACATCAGGGATAGTGTTCAGTCTCAGAGTTCAAGTCCCACAACCAACCAAAGGAAAAGGAAGGAAGGAAGGAGGGAGAGAGGGAGGGAGGGAGGAAGGAAGGATGGAAGGAGGGAGGGACGGAAGGAAAAAGAAATAAATAAATCACAAGACTTAATTCTAAAGGAACTAGCAAAAGCCAAGCTGGAAGTAAGTAGAAAAATGTCAGCCAAACAAGCAAGCCAACTGAGCCACTGCAAAGTCCTAGGATCAAACTGTGACTCAAAACAAACAACAACAGGGCTGGGAAGGTGGCTCAGTGGTAAGGTGCTTGCTTGCATGCAGGAGGCCCTGGGTTTGATTCCTCAGCACCACATAAGCAAAAAGAAAAAAGCCGAAAGTGGTGCTGTGGCTCAAGTGGTAGAGCACTAGCCTTGAGCTGAAGACCTGAGGGACAGCACCCAGGCCCGGAGTTCAGCCCCCACAACTGACCAAAAAAAAAAAAAAAACAAAAAAAATCCTGATACTGGCCAAAGCAAAAAAAGAAACATTGATAGGTGGGGATAGCTCAGTGTAGAGTACTTGCCTAACAAATACAAGGCCCTGGGTTCAATCCTAGGTACTTGATAATAAATATGCCTTAGTTGAATATTGCCAATTATATACCAGTGACAAGTTACCTCATATCCCTTTATATTTTAAGAAAAGGGATAATGTAGAATGGTAATGAAAAAATCCCCCCATGGAACACCTGAGTTTCCATCCTACTGCTACTTAGTTCATAGTTTTGGGTTAGATGTCTTGAGTTTTCTTTATCTTCGGGGCTATTGAAAATAAAATGAGAACCATGTATGTTGACACATGTCTATAGTTATGGCATTCAGGAGGCTGAAGCAGGATGACCTTGAAGCCAACTGCATAGTTCCAGACCAGCCTGGGATACTTAGTGAAACCTTGTCTATAAATAAATAAATGTGGTTATGTTGAAGGTATAGCTTAGTGGTAGAGTAGAATAATATTTCTTTTGTTTATTTGTTTGTTGGTCGTAAAGCCTGAACTCTGGGCCTGGGCACTGTCCCTCAGCTCTTCAGCTCAAGGCTAGCGCTCTACCACTTGAGCCACAGCGCCACTTCTGGCTTTTTCTGCTTATGTGGTATTGCCTCATGCATGCAGAGCAAGCACTCTACCACTGAGCTACCTTCTCAGTCCCGAGTATAATAATACTTCTATAACTTTAGCAAGTATATGCATTTAATAAAAAGAATACCCCACCCTTTTTTTTTCCATACTGGGGCAGGAACTCAGGACCTGGGCACTGTCTCTGAGCTTTTGTGCTCAATGCCAGCACCCTACCAATTGAGCTACTGTTTCACTTAGGCTTTTTTGGTGGTTAATTGGAGGTGAGAGTCTCACAACTTTGCTGCCTGATCTGGCTCCAAACTCTTTAATCTTCATATCTCAGTCTCCTGAGTATTTGTGAGTGCAGGAATAAGCCACTGGCATCTGGCAAAACTAAACCTTTTCAAAGAAGTGATACACATGCCATAAAGCCAACAGTGCAATGAAAAATAGACATAGTCATTTAGTTTTGTTTTAGTTTGAGGAAGTCTATGCCAATATTAATGTTGTATTTCTTTGTTTAATGAAGAGAAAAGAACTGATAACAATGGCAGAGTATATTTTGTCAACCACAACACTCGAATTACTCAATGGGAAGACCCCCGAAGTCAAGGGTAAGAATTTAAGAATTTTTTAGTATATGTGTATCAATTTACTCATTTCTCACTCATATATATGTATATTCATTCTTAAAGGCCTTAATATGAATCACTTAACATGTACTGGAAACCAAAAATATATTATTGATTCTCACAAAATTAGAAGCCTAAGAGTTTCTTGCAAGTAGAGAAAACTACTCACTTGTGTGTGAGAATACACTTACATTGAACATTCATACACTTACATACATACATATGTAAATACATAAATGCTTCTAAAAAATGCTAGATCTCACTTTGAGAACATCTTAAACACATGTATTTCAATTAGAATAAATTTCAGTATCTTGCTACTAAGCTTGCTACTATATATGAATATATAAATATATATGTATATTAGTATGTATGTATTTAGTGGTAACCAGATTAATAATTCTAGACTTTCTTAATCTTAGATCACTAATAGAATTCAATGCATGTTTTAATGGGTAAAAAGATACAATTTAGTTTAGCCTTTGCCTAATACTTATTGTTTCCTTCCTTTAAAAGGTAAAACCTAACGTATTAGTAGTACCTAGCACTTTCTTTCCTGAAAAGCTTTACTATGCATTATCTGCATCTTTAGGAAGGAAGAAAATTCTTACTTTCATGTAATGAAAAAGTAAACAATTTCTTGAGAGTAGTAGAAAACTTTCTGGTTTCTTTTATTTGCATCAGTAGAAAACACAAACTTATAAAAATATTCTGTGGTTGTTAGAGATAATCTTAAAATATCATTTACACATCATTATTAACACTGGTTAGTAAGAATAAAAAACTTGCTAGTATATTTATGCATATGAGTACAGGTTTTTTCTTAATTTTTTTTTCTTTTTTGTCGGTTGTGGGACTTGAACTCTGGGCCTGGGCACTGTCCCTCAGCTCTTCAGCTCAAGGCTAGCACTTCAGCCACAGCGCCACTTCCGGCCTTTTCTGTTGATGTGCTGAGGAATTGAACCCAGGGCCTCATGCATGCGAGGCAAGCACTCTACCACTGAGCCCTTTTTCTTAATGTTTTGATAGCTATATACAGTTACTCAGCATAATCTCTGTGTATTAGTTTGTTAAGACCAGTTTAATAAAGTACACAACACAGGAAGTACTTTTTTGTTTGTCCTGGTCCTGGAACTTGAACTCAGGGCCTGGGCACTGTCCCTGACTTTTTTTGCTTAAGGGTAGCTCTCTACCACTTGAGCCACAGTGCCATATATGCTTTTTAAGTATTTAGTTGGAAATGAGTCTCACAGATTTTCTTGCCCAGACTAACTTTGAACTGCAGTTCTCAGATCTCAGCCTCCTGAGTAGATAGGATCACAGACATGAGCCACTGGTGCCCAACTTACATTGGAGTACTTTAATTTTGAATTTTTTTATTTTTTTGTTGGTTGTGGGGCTTGAACTCTGACTTTAGGTGCTCTTGCGCTCTTCAGCTCAAGGCGAGCGCTCTACCTCTTGAGCCACAGCGCCACTTCTGGTTTTCTAGTGGTTTATTGGAGATAAGAGTCTCACGGACTTTCCTGCCCTAGCTGGCTTTGAACTGCTATCCTCAGATCTCAGCCTCCTGAATAGCTAGGATTACAGGCATGAGCCACCGGCACCCAGCTTCATGGAGTACTTTTAAACAGCAGTAATTATCTTGACAGTTCTGGATCCTACAAGTCAGAGACCAAAGTGTTGGCAGCACTGTTCTGTCACTGTACAACTAGGTATGGCCCTGTTCCAGATCTCTCCCAACTTTTTATAGTTCTTGGGTTTTTGTCAGCATATTTCTGTCTTCATATGTCTTTCCTCTGTGTATATGACTGCCCAAATTTCCCCTTTTGTAAGAACACCATTTCTATAGAATTAGTGACTCAGCTACCATACTCCTGTATTATCTCCTCTTAACTAATGCATTTTTATGGTCCTGTTTCCAGACAAGGTCACAGCCTGAGGTACTTAACATAAAGTCTTAACTATAAGCATATGGAGGAAGGACATGTTCAATATATACTAGTTTGTAGTAGTATACTTTTATGAAACGGACAGTTCCATTCTGTCAGAAGTTTGAGAAAAACATACAATCACTTAAGACATTAACTACACTTTGGAGAGTCAACTCTCATTTCGGACCAGCTGCTTACAATTTTTGGCACAACCACTCTCAGGTATAATAGTTCAGTAACAAGATGAATGTGGTAGTAGGTCATGGAATAAGTCTTAGCACTCAGCAGACGGAAGCAGATGGTTGGCAAGTTGGGTCATCTACTAGTAAGAACCTATCTCAAAAAACAAAATGTTTCTGGCTACCAGCAAATGCCAGTGTGGTTCTTTTTTGTGAAGTTATTGTATATAATTTAAATGTATTTAGTTCCATAAAAGAATTAAGCATCAAAAGATATAAATTTTTTTCCTTTTTTTTTTGGGTCCAGTCGAGGGGCCTGAACTCTGGGCCTGGGCGCTGTCCCTCAGCTCTTCAGCTCAAGGCTAGCGCTCTACCACTTGAGCCACAGTGCCCTTCCGGCTTTTTTCCTTTTGCTTATGTGGTGCTGAGGAATCAAACCCAGGGCCTCAAGCATGCAAGGCAAGTGCTGTACCACTGAGCTACCTTCCCAGCCCCAAAAGATAAAAATTTTTAAATTTCTTTCTAAAATTCTGTATCTGGGGCTAGAGATAAGGTTTGGCTCAGTGGTACAGTACCTATGTAGTACATTTGAAGACTTGGGTGTGATTGTAGTACTGAAAAATAAAAAATAAAATTTCTAAAGATAGAATGAACAAGTTATCCCTTTGCAATTTGCCACCATTATTCCCTTAGACCTTTATACATACCTGTAGAGTTAAAAATAGAATCATATTTTAATAAAGAGCGTAAATTACCTAGGTTTATCTCAAATGACATAGTACTGATCCTGTCTTACATTATAATTACAACAAAAGAAAGTTCTCTTTTCTTACATTTTTGGTATTCTTGTCTGGCACTTGTATTCAATTGTATGTACATAAATGAATATTATGAATATTATTAACCTTTATTTGTACTTCACAAAATATGATTCAAGACAAAGTTGTTTTTCTTTTTATGGGCACAAAGGGGCTTCATTTTGACATATCTACTTATATGTATAATGAATCTTGATCAGATTCATCCCCATTCCTTCTTTTTGTGTGTGATACTGGTATTTATGCAGCATAAGGCATGGCATGTATTAGGCAAGTGCTCTATCATTGAGCTACATTTCCAGCCCTAATGGTTTTTCTTTGTTTCCCTGAATTACACAAGAAAAATGACAATCCAGCAAAAGTAGATCCCTACAAGAAGTCGTTAGGTCGAAAAAATGAACTTTACAACTTTGGCTGGGGGAGTGGGGGAGGATGGATGATGAGAAGGTGAAACAAAGGAGGAGGCAACAATGCTTGATAAGAAATGTACTCATGGGATATTATGCAGCCATTAGAAATGACAAAATAATGGCATTTGCAGGGAAATGGATGGAGCTAGAAGGAATCATGTTGAGCGAGGTAAGCCAAGAGCAAAGAGACAAACGGTACATGGTCTCCCTGATAAGTGGATGCTAAATCCAAAATGTTAGGTGATACGACAAAATTAACAGGATTTAAGAAACAAAGAACTCCCACTCATCTGGTCGAACCACTACTAAATATCCCCATGCTGCTGATCACATGTATGGTGTATATGTGTACACCGTTATATGTTATAGACTGTGATAGACAATTTGCTCCAGGAAAGTTAGAATGAACTTGTGACTTTAAATGAGCATCATTATTCCACAATACTGTGAAATTTGGGGAATTATGTAATCACTTAATCACAATTTAAAAAAAGAGAACCTCAGGGAAGGTAGGGAGGAAAGGGATGGTAGGGGGAAAACAGTGGAGGGGGTAGCAATGCTTGATGGGAAGTGTTCTCATTACCTTGCTCATGTAACTGTGACCCTCTGTATAGTATCTTTACAATAAAAAAAAAAAGAAAAGAAATGTACTCATGGGGCTGGGAAGGTGGCTCAGCACTCTACCAAGTGCTTGCCTTGCATGCATGAGGCCCTGGGTTCGATTCCTCAGCACCACATAAGAAAAAAGAAAAAAGCCGGAAGTGGTGCTGTGGCTCAAGTGGTAGAGCGCTAGCCTTGAGCTGAAGAGCTGAGGGACAGCGCCCAGGCCCAGAGTTCAGGCCCCAGACCGGACCCAAAAAAAAAAAAGAAAGAAATGTACTCATTACCTTGCCCATGCAATTGTAATACCTCTCTGTATGGTATTTTCACAATAAAATAAATAAATAAACAGTGAGCCTGAATTCCTCCAATTCTGTATTTCCCGTTCTGATGTAAACCTGAACATTATTGTTCTCATAACCACATGAGAAAATTGAAGCTATAAAAATAGGAAAAAAAGATCTGAGATCCAGTAGTTCACACCTGTAATCTGATCGTGATTTGAAGCTAGCCCAGGCAAGAAAGCCCATGAGACTCTTACCTCCAGTTAACTACTAGAAAACGGAAGTGGCACTGTGGCTCAGTGTTAGTGCTAGCGAAAAAGCTCAGAGACAGCACCCAGGCTGAGTTCAAGCCCCATGACTGACAAAGAAAGAAAGAAAGAGAGAGACAGAGACAGACAGAGAAAGAGGGAGGGAGGAAAAAAAGCGTGCTGCAATATACAAAATTGCCATATTTGTTATACCTAGAAAACTAAAAAAGACTTAATTCCACTATGTTACAATACACAGACCACAAGGTAATTACCAGCAGTTCTCTACCTATTCTAGAATAGTGTTTTGAAATGTACAATTCTTTTTATTTATTTATTTTTATTTTTGGGTCTGGTCGTGGGGCCTGAACTCTGGGCCTGGGCACTGTCCCTCCCTCATCTTTCAGCTTAAGGCTAGCACTCTACCACTTTAGCCACAACGCCACTTCTGGCTTTTTTTCTTTTTGCTTATGTGGTACTGGGGAATCAAACCCAGGGCCTCATGCATACAAGGCAAGCGCTGTACTACTGAGCCACCTTCCCAGCCCCGTAAAATTCTTATGTTCACTAGTAAGCATTTAGTGTTTGTGCTAGTACCTAAGTTATTTTACTATATATCAGATTAAATTATTTATGTAAGTCTAAAGTTCATGCATTATTTGCATGGTGTAAAGCTCATGTGTTTGTAAGGTGGAAAGTTGTATCCAGCATACAACTTGGAAGATGATAAATATGGTGATAGCAGTATGTAGAATGTATACTTGACAGGGGCTGGGAAGGTGGCTCAGTGGTAGAGTGCGTGCCTTGCATGCCTGAGGCCCTGGGTTCTATTCCTCAGCACCACATAAGCAAAAATAAAAAAGCCGGAAGTGGTGCTGTGGCTCAAATGGTAGAGTGCTAGTCTTGAGCTGAAGAGCTGAGGGACAGCGCCCAGGCCCAGAGTTCAGGCCCCACGACTGGACCCAAAAAAAAAAAAAAGAATGTATACTTGACAGACTTATAATGATCAGTCTATAGTAGCAGGAGTACTAATAATATAATTTGAGAGCTTTAAAAATATTTTTGTTAGAATTACAGACATGAACCACAGGTACCCAGCTTGACAGCTTCTTACTGTTTTTTTTTGTTTGTTTGTTTTTTTGTCAGTCATGAGGCCTGAACTCTGGGCCTGGGCACTATCCCTCAGCTCTTCAGCTCAAGGCTAGCACTCTACCACTTGAGCCACAGCGCCACTTCCGGCTTTTTCTGCTTATGTGGTGCTGAGGAATTGAACCAGAGCCTCATGTATGCAAGGCAAGCACTCACCCCCTGACCCACCTTCCCAGCCCACTAGTATTTTTTTTTAATTGTCTTGTGTTCTACATAGTCTTATTACATAGAAATAGATTTTTCCGTTTTGTGAACAAAGAAACCAAACAGTATGACAAAGTTTTAAAGATATAAAAATAGGTATTAAAAAGCTGAAGAGGCCAGGCCTAGAGGCTTATGCCTATAATCCCAAGGATAGTGGAGGTTGAAAGTAAGGTATTCACACTAGCTACTCAATGCTGATAACAGGTTTGTTGTTTAAAACCAACCAGGGCTGGAATATCCATGAGACTTGTATCTCCAGTAAACCTCCCCCCACCCAAAAAAAAAGATCGAATTGAAGCTGTGGCTCATGTTATAGTGCTAGCCTTGAGTGAAAAAACTTAGAGGCAGTACCTCGGCCCTGAGTTCCAGCCCTAGTATTTGGACAAAAGAAAAAGAATGGAAAACAATACATTGTTTATAAACACTTGTTAATGTTGTGTAGGATATTTTTTTTCTATACTGAGATTTAAAGTCATGTCCTGATGCTTTGTAATTAGGCACTGTAACATTTGAGCAATACCTCTGGCAAATATGAAGACTTCTAAGACATTGGACAGAACTTAGTTTACATAGATTATTAGATGAATAGGAAAACATAAGCCAAGAAGATGGTAGAATTCCTAGTGATAATTTGTTTTTAATACTGCTGAAAAGTTTAATGTGTATCTAGAGATGCTAGTACAGAACTGAAAATAATGGACTAAATATATTTCCAAAGGATTTTGTGTTACACTTATGGATATTTTTAGTTTCTATACTTGGTTAGTAAATAAATGTTTCTTATGTGCTAATATTTTTTTTTCCTCTGTATTTCATAGTCAATTAAATGAAAAGCCCCTACCTGAAGGCTGGGAAATGAGATTCACAGTGGATGGGATTCCATATTTTGTGGACCACAATAGAAGAACAACAACCTACATAGATCCCCGAACAGGAAAATCTGCCTTGTAAGTTTTCTTTTTTCTTTTTTTTTTTTTTTCAGTCCTGGGGCTTAAACTCAGGATCTGGGCTCTGTCCCTGAGCTTCTTTTGCTCAAGGCTCGCGCTCTACCCCTTGAACCACAGACCCACTTCTGGCCTTTTCTGTTTATGTGGCACTGAAGAATCGGGCTTCATGCATGGTAGGCAAGAATTCTAACACTAAGCCATGTTTTCAGCCTGCTTTGTAATTTTAAACACTACAGATTAAAAGTAAAACTAATTCCTCAGATCTGACTTGAAGACTTGAATTAGAGAGGAATAGAAGTCTTATTTTGTCTTGAGTTTTCTTTTTGTTACTATTATATTTTATACATTGATTTACTTAATGAAGAGATAATTTCTGAGAAATGCATTATTTTGTGAATATCAGAGTATTTACCAAACCTAAATGGCGTGCCCTACACATATAGACTATATGGTTTACACACCTAGCCTAGATGATACAGTCTTTTTTTTTTTTTTTTTTTTTTTTTTTGTCGGTCGTGGGGCTTGAACTCTGGGCCTGGGCGCTGTCCTTCAGCTCTTCAGCTCAAGGCAAGCGCTCTACCACTTGAGCTACAGCGCCACTTCCAGTTTTCTGGTGGTTTATTGGAGATAGGAGTCTCACAGTCTTTCCTGGCTGGCTTTGAACCGCAATCCTCAGATCTCAGCCTCCTGAGTAGCTAGGATTACAGGCGTGAGCCACCAGCGCCCCAGCTGATGATACAGTCTTTATAGTAAACAAAACATAAAATTAAATCAAGCTCCAAAGAAACTTATGCAAACCAGTGACATAGTAGACATAAGAGAAATGAGGTTGCTGCTATACTACTTTGCAATAAACTCTTGTTTTTTTTTATAAGTGGGAGTACATTTTCTTTCTTTCTCTCTTTCTTTCTCTCTTTCTTTCTCTTTCTTTCTCTCATTCTCTCTTTCTCTCTCTCTTTCTTTCTTTCTTTCTTTCTTTCTTTCTCTCTTTCTTTCTGCTGGTTGTGGAGCTTGAACTCTGGGCCTGGGCACTCACTGTCCCTCAGCTATTCAGCTCAAGGCTAGTGTTCTACCACTTGAGCCACAGTGCCACTTCTGGCTTTTTTTGCTTATGTAGTGCTGAGGAATGGAACCCAGGACCTCATGCATGCAAGGCAAGCACTCTACCACTGAGCCACGTTCCCAGCCCTGTGGGAGTACATTTTAAGTTAATGATTAAAGGCCATGTGTCAGTGGCCCACACCTATAATCCTAGCTGCTTAGGAGGCTGAGATCTGAGAATCTTGGTTCAAAACAGCTGTGGCAGGAAAGTCCATTAGACTTTTATCTTCAAATAACCATCTAAAAGCTACACTTAGAGCTGTAGATTAAGTGATATAGTGCTATCCTTGGGCAAAAAATTTCAATGACAGTGCCCAGGTCCCAGGACTGGCACACACACACACAAATTAAAATAACGTTTAGGGCTGGGAAGGTGGCTCAGTGGTAGAGCGCTTGCCTTGCATGCATGAGGCCCTGGGTTCGATTCCTCAGCACCACATACATAGAAAAATCTGGAAGTGGTGCTGTGTGGCTCAGTTGGTAGAGCCCTAGCCTTGAGCTGAAGAGCGCAGGGACAGTAACCAGGCCCAGAGTTCAGGCTCTATGACCGACCAAAAAAATAAAAAATTAAAAAATAGAATAAAATAATGTTTAAAAGCATTTTGTAGGGGCTGGGAAGGTGGCTCAGTGGTACAGTGCTTGCCTTGCATGCATGAGGCCCTGGGTTCAATTCTTCAGCACCACATAAACAGGAAAAAAAAGCTGGAAGTGGGTCTGGCTCTCAAGTGGTAGAGTACTAGCCTTGAGCTGAAGAGCTGAGGGATATTGCCCAGGCCCAGAGTTCAAACCCCATAACCGACCAAAAAAAAAAAAGCATTTTGTAAATACATAAACTAGTCATATAATCACTGACTATCATTATCATGTATTATACATTATTCATAATTGCATTGCTATGTTTTTCTGTGATTAGCATTGTAGTGGGTTTGTTTATACTAACATAATTACAAACAGGTGAGTAATGTGTTATGCTGTGAGGCTAACAGGGCTATATCACTGGGAGTTAGGAATTCTACTCCATTATAATCATATGGGATCATTCTTACTAGCTGCACGTGAATTTGGCTATTAATCTCTTACTCAGTTTATGACTTAAAAATATGTTCTCCCCTTCTGAGGGTTAATTTTTACTCTGGATAATATCCTTTGATATACAAAAAGTTTGAAATTTTGATAAAGTTCAGTCTGTCTATATTTTATGTGTTACCAAAAAACCATTGCCTAATGTAGAATCATGATGCTTTTCTTCTGACAGGCTTATGATTTTAGCTCTTACATGTAGGTCTTTGGACCTCCCTTTGAGTAGTTTTTAGTACATGCTGTAAGATAGAGTATCCATTGTTATTCTTTGGCATGTGGATATCCAGTTTTCCCAGCACCATTTGTTGAAAAGACTGTCTTTTTTGGTAGGTCATAGGGCTTGAACTTGGGGCCTGGGTATGTCCCTGAGCTTTTTTGCTCCAGGCTAACACTCTACCACTTAGAGCTACAGTACCACTTCCAATTTTCTAGTGGTTAATGGGCAATAAGAGTCTCACAGATTTTCCTGCTGGGCTGGCTTTGAACCACAATCCTCAGATCTTAGCCTACTGAGTAGCTAGGATTATAGACATGAGCCACTGGCACCCAGCAAAAAGACTTGTCATTTCCTTGTTTCTTGGCCATGGAATTTTACATCACGACAATAATATAATTGATATAAGTTACATAATCAAGTACTTATTTAGCTCGGGCTTATTTGTCATTTGGTTTGTTTTTGTGCTACTAGAGATTGAATTTAGGACCTCATGTTTGTTAGTAAAACACTCTAGTACTTGAGTCAAACACCCAGTTCTTTTTGCTTCAGTTATTTTTCATATAGTCTGGTGCTTTTTTCTTGGGCCAGCTTTAAACCATGATCCTTTGTTCTGTTTCCCATGTATCTGAAATTATAGACATAAGCCATTGCACCTGGCTCCTAGCTCAGTTTTGATGACTCAAAAGTCCAAATAGCATAGCTCAGGCTTAACAAAGGTCATTGTATCATCTAATGATGTATAGTAGTACATCGTGGCATGAGTGTATGAAAGAGGAAACAATCATATATTGAACAAAACTAGAAAGGAAGTACAACCTGAGCCCGGTGGCCTAAGACATCATAGTAGGCCCAACTTCTTAATGTTTTTCAGCCTAACCCAATTTTCAGCTCAACCCAATCACTTTGAGGTTTTTTTTTAATTTATTTTTTGGTTGGTCATGGGCCCTGAACTCTGGGCCTGGGTGCTGTCCCTCACTCTTCAGCTCAAGGCTAGCGCTCTACCACTTGAGCCACAGTGCCACTTCTCGCTTTTTTTTTTTCTGCTTATGTGGTGCTGAGGAATCGAACCCAGGGCCTCATGCATGCAAGACAAGTACTCTTCCACTGAGCCACCTTCCCAGCCCCACTTTGAGGTTATTGAGTATTCAAACCGGTCTGGTTTGCATGCAGATAGAAAGCAGAACTGTATTCCAAAATAACTGGTAAAAAAAGGAGTGGAATGGCTGGGCCGGGCGGGGCAGGGCGGGAGGGGGGAGGGGGGAGGGGAGGAGGAGAGTAGGAGAGTGGGAGAGGAGAGGCCAGGCACTGGTGACTCACATTGTAATTCTAGCTACTGTGGAGGCTGAGATCTGAGGATTGAGGTTTGAAGCTTGAAGCCAGCCCAGCAGGAAAGTCTGTGCTGCGCTTTTTATTTAAGTTGCTAAGTACTGAAATAAGTAAGAGTATTTGCTTTTCTTTATTACTGTCTTTTATGAGCAATTATACATGTCGCGTTAACCCTGTTCTTCTTCAGAGACAATGGACCCCAAATAGCCTATGTTCGAGACTTCAAAGCAAAGGTTCAGTACTTCCGGTTTTGGTGTCAGGTTAGTATTGGAACGGAATCTTTTCTTTTGTTATGCTAATTAGTTAATTCAGAAAAACCGGTAAAATGGAAAACATTGGAATCCCTCATTTTTTTTTTTTTCCGGTCCTGGTGCTTGAACTCTGGGCCTGGGCGCTGTCCCTCAGCTCTTCAGCTCAAGGCAAGCGCTCTATGGCTTGAGCCACAGCACCACTTCCAGTTTTCTAGTGGTTTATTGGAGATAAGAGTTTCAAGGACTTTGCTGCCCGGACTTTGCTGCCTAGGCTGGCTTTGAATCGCAATCCTCAGATCTCAGCCTCCTGAGTAGCTAGGATTACAGGCATGAGCAACCAGCACCCGACTCTCACAGATTTTTTGAACAAAGTAATATATTTATCAGTTGGATAATTGTGTCTTATATCGTCAGAGATGAAGCATGGGAAAACATTTGAAAGAAAAGGGACTGAGAGGAGAGGGGCAGAATGCAAAGAAAAATGATAAAGGAATGCAATTATAATAGTACTCTGTACATATATGATAATGGAATTAGTAAACGAGTTAACAGTGGGTATGAGATAGATGGGAGAAAGTGGAAGAATGATGGAAGGCATCACTTTATGAATGGAGATGTTAAAGTGAAATCTTTTGCATAACAATTTGAAGGTAATTTTTTAAATTATTTAATTATGTTTTTGTCATTTTTGCTCACCAAATAGCTAGGCCTTCCTTTTGGTATTTTTGGTAGACCATTTTAATGGTGAGAATTGGCTTAAATCTCTTCTTACATTTCAGCAACTGGCCATGCCACAGCACATAAAGATTACAGTGACAAGAAAAACATTGTTTGAAGATTCCTTTCAGCAGGTACTGTCTGATCATGTCTAGTCTCATTGCCAGCTACCTTAGTACCTAACATTCAATGGGGATTTTTGTGTGTATATATATATACACGTGCTTGTGTGTTTTGTACTTTTTAAGAGTAACATAGTTGATTGGTGAGTTTCAAATTTCCTTTTCTAAGATGCTAGGGTTGTTTTTTGTTGTTGTTGTTGTTGTTTTTCGGTTTGGGGCTTGAACTCTGGGCTTGGGCGCTGTCACTGTGCTCTTCAGGAAAAGGCAAGTGCTTTACCGCTTGAGCCACAGTGCCACTTCTGGTTTTCTAGTGGTTTATTTGAGGTAAGAGTCTCACAGCAGCTGGGCACCAGTGGCTCGCGCCTGTAATCCTAGCTACTCAGGAGGCTGAGATCTGAGGATCACAGTTCAAAACCAAAGCCAGCCTGGGCAGGAAAGTTCATGAGACTCTGATCTCCAATAAACTGCTAGAAAACCAGAAGGGTGCTGTGGCTCAAGGGGTAGAGCGCTCGCCTTGAGCTGAAGAGCACAAGGACAGTGCCCAAGCCCAGAGTTCAAGCCCCACGACCGACCAAAAAAAAAAGAAAAAAAGAGAGTCTCACAGACTTTCCTGCCCAGGCTGGCTTTGAATCACGATCCTCAGATCCCAGCCTCCTGAGTAGCTAGCATTACAGGTGTTAGCCACGGATGCCTGGCTGATGCTAAATTTTTATTTGAAATAGATATACAAGTAGACTATCAGTAGGCAAAGTTCTGGCAATACCTATATGTGAGCATTATGGTATCAGTAGAAAAGAGAAAGGAAAACAGCTGTTCTTACACTTTTGTATTTGAATTTTTACAATTTTTACAATAAGCATGTGTTACTATTACAGATAAAAATGTGTCTGTGTGTGTCTATGTGCAAACACATGTACACATGTGGACAGTCCTGAGGCTTTAACTCAGGGCCTGGATGCTGTCCTTGAGCTTTATTGCTCAAGGCTAGTTAGCACTCTATCACTTTGAGCCACAGTGCCCCATCTGGTTTTCTGGTGGTTATTTGAAGATAAGATTCTCACAAAGCCAGCCTGGGCTGGCTAGCCTAGTCTAGCATGCATGAAGCCCTGGGTTCGATACCTCAGTGTCACATAAACAGAAAAAGCCAGAAGTGATGCTGTGGCATGAGAGGTAGAGTGCTATCCTCGCATGCATGAGGCCCTGGATTTGATTCCTCAGCACCACATAAACAGAAAAAAAGCTGAAAGTGGCTCAAGTGGTAGAGCATTAGCCTTGAGCTGAAGAGCTCAGGGACAGCGCCCAGGCCCAGAGTTCAAGCCCCAGGACCAACTAACAACAACAAGAAAAAAGAATGTATAGAACCCGAAGACACAATACTTCTGTGCCTTTAAACATATAAAATAATTTTTGTTGAAATAAAAAAGTATGGGGCTGAGAAGGTGGCTCAGTGGTAGAGTGCTTGCCTTGCATACATGAGGCCCTGGGTTCCATTCCTCAGTACCACATAAGCAGAAAAAGTTGGAAATGGTACTGTGACTGAAGTGGTAGAGCACTAGCCTTGAGCTGAAGAGCTGAGGGATACCACTTGGCCCAGAGTTCAAGCCCTACAACCGACAAAAAAAAAAAGTATGTAAATATAAAAATGTATAAATACATAAAGTTTATGAAACTTTAATTCATTTTCTATGTGTAGTATTAATATTCTCATTAACATTCTGTCATGGGGAATTTAAGATTTAAGTTACCTATATAATGCAAAAATGTGAAACTTGGAAATGGTAGAATGGTGTTTCAAAAATTGTTTTCGCCAATTCTTTTTATTGTTTTATAGATAATGAGCTTCAGTCCCCAAGATCTGCGAAGACGTTTGTGGGTGATTTTTCCAGGAGAAGAAGGTTTAGATTATGGAGGTGTAGCAAGGTAGTGATAATATGAGTACTCAGAACTTAGTTCCTTTCTTCCAAAGGTATCATTACACTTTGCTTGCAAGTACTATTTTCGCAATCTTATATTTCATGAAAATGAATAGTAGCAAATGATTGAGGCTTACTATGCTGGAGCTACAAAATTTCAACAAACAATTTAGCACCTTTTTTTTTACTAAGGAAATGCTAATTGATTTCACCTACACTATTTGTCCTAAAAATAGCTCTGTAAAATAGAATTTTATAGGCAATGAAAAGATTTTTACAGATTCATGTAGGATGCATAAGTTGTACGTGGATTCAGGATTTGCATTATATCAGCCTACTGTTTGACATAGTATGTTAATCAGTAAACAGTCGATCACATCATATCTATTCCACAAAGCACCCAAGATCTTATAGTGATTAGGGCTTCTCATAGTCCTGATAAAGATAATTGAGACTCAGTTCCCAACTGAAATTAATAATCTTATCAGCAAAATATAGTAGCCTATATAAAAATCAAAGTCTTAATTCTTTTTCATTTTAGAGCTGTTAGTCAGACCTTAAATGGTAGCCTCAGCAAAGAATAGCTTTGCTTATTCCATAACAGTATGTCACACCAGTTTAAAAATGTAGTAGCAGTGGTAGTGTTGGAAAGCAAATAGTGTATGTGTGTATGTGTGTGTGTGTATGCGCACACGTATACATGTACCCATACTTAGGATTGAACTCAAAGCCTTGCTTTCTTGCTGAGTTTTTTCACTCAAGGCTAGCATTCTTGGGCTACACTTTCACTTCTAGCTTTTTACTGATTAAATGGAGATAAGAGTGTCTTGGACTTGGTCCTGGTTAACTTTTGATCTGTGATGATTAGATCTCAGCCTCCTGAGTGGCTAGGATTATAGGCTTGATCCACCAGCACCCAATTCATAGGCAAATATCTTGATTTGTCAAATAAGATAGTAGTATATCCGGGACTGGGAAGGTGGCTCAGTGGTAGAGTGCTTGGCTTGCATGCATGCGGCCCTAGGTGCGATTCCTCAGCACCACATAAGCAAAAACAACCAGAAATGGCGCTGTGGCTCAAGTGGTAGAACACTAGCCTTGAGCTGAAGAGTTCAGGGACAGCGCCCAGGCCCAGAGTTCAGCCCCCATGACCGACAAAAACAAGATAGCAGTATATCCTTCTAGGATTATCATGAAGAGTAGAAATACTAATACATTTATTAATGATCTAGTTTAGAATCTGAGTCTTTGTATACTTACTGGTGGCTACATTTTGGTAATTATTCTTTATATTTTGTTAGAAAATTCATTTACCTTTGAAAATGTATGATATAATCAAAGATAAATAGTAGATGTAAGGACTGGAAGCATGGCTCAGATTGTGGAGTGCCAACTTGCTGAGCAAGCTTAGCCAGTGTATAAGGTCCTGAGATCAAGTTCTAATACTGACAAAAAATAAGTGAAATACAATAATAATAAATATGAGTAGAAGTTTTTTTTTTTTCTTTTTTTTCCTTTTTTTCTTTTTTTTGTCGGTCCTGGGGCCTGAACTCTGAGCCTGGATGCTGTCCATCAGCTTTTCAGCCCAAGGCTAGCACTCTACCACTTGAGCCACAGCGCTACTTCCGGCTTTTTTTCTTTTTGTTTATGTGGTGCTGAGGAATCGAACCCAGGACCTCAGGCATGCAAGGCAAGTGCTCTACCACTGAGCTACCTTCCCAGCCCAGAAGTATTTAGTTTTATATAAGTTCAACATAATTCAAGAGTAAGTAGTCATTCATTTCCTAATCAGCATACTAACTAGCAATATAAAAGTATAAGCAGAATTGTCAGCAGAGGTGATCAACTAACTGGAGAAAAGGTCTAAGACACTGACTGCTAAGTGTTCCACCAGATCTATCCTACCAGACCCAACCATACAACATAATGACAATGACTTCATGTTAATATGCATGGATATCTTCAGAACATGTGAATTATTAGAGAAAGAGAGAGAGAGAGAGTGTGTGTGTGTGTGTGTGTGTTTTGGTCTGAACTCTGGGCCTGGGCGCTGTTCCTGAGCTCTTCAGCTCAAGGCTAGCGCTTTACCACTTGAGCTACATTGCCACTTCCGGCTTTTTCTGCTTATGTGGTGCTGAGGAATCGAACCCAGGGCATCATGCATGCAAAGCAAGCACTCTACCACTGAGCCACCTTCCCAGCCCACTAGAGTTTCTTAAAACATTTTCTAATAATTGTGTGGCTGAACTTAAGTGCTTTATTAACTGAAATTTAAAGGTTTTCATGTTGATCTGAAATATAGGGAATAATGTTACTTGTTGAGTATCACTGTGTACTCAGTAATAGATGGAATATTAGATTATTTCAACAACTCTAAGCCAATAGTAAATTTTAAATATGCCTTTTATACCAATTAAAAAATTTAGTATGTTCATATTTAATGTCTCTGAAATTGAAATATGTATTCATTGCAATTATAACTGGAAAAGTTTTAATAGGTAATCCAATAAGGATGCCTTTTTTAAGTAAGTGATGTCTTAGGTTCTTTGAAATATAATAGTGTATAAATATTATTTGTAAAATAGATGTGAATTTGCACAGAGTATACAAATAAAGTAGAAAAACTCACCAGCTAAGATATGTAGATTCCCAAGAACTTGGTTGTCCTGATCTTTGATTTGTTAGGATGGTTATTTATAAGATTTTTCATTCTGAGTTTTCTTTCAATTTCAGAGAATGGTTCTTTCTTTTGTCACATGAAGTGTTGAACCCCATGTATTGCCTGTTTGAATATGCAGGGAAGGATAATTACTGCTTACAGATAAACCCTGCATCTTACATCAATCCTGATCATCTGAAATATTTTCGCTTTATTGGCAGGTTTATTGCCATGGTAAGTGCAGGTCAAGACTGTGCATTTATTTGGTTAATTCAGCAATACTAAGTTGTCTTACATGTGCCATAAAAGATTATATTATAGGATTTTTTATAAATGAAAAATTTAATGTTTTAAAATAAAGTGGCATTTGTATAATTGTGTTAATATTGTTCCCTTTCTGTGTAGGCTCTATTCCATGGAAAATTCATAGACACGGGTTTTTCCTTACCATTCTATAAACGTATCTTGAACAAACCAGTTGGACTTAAAGATTTAGAATCTATTGATCCAGAATTTTACAATTCTCTCATCTGGGTTAAGTAAGTTTCTGTCTGCATTAACTAAAGTGTGGTCTACATGCTTTCACTGTAGAATTAGTAACTTGCCAAAATTGTAGGCATATTACCAGTTTATTGAATTAAATAATCTAATCATCTAAATAAACTGTTGAATTGCTTAGTTACAGAAGTATGCCCAAGATCTTACACAATAATGTGATATTAGAGCATACTGTTGCACTTTCTTACTTTGATGTTAATAGCTTATAGCCAATTAAGAGATGCTTTAAATTTAAACTTTTATAGTCGAATTAGAAGATAAATAATGCTTATTTCACTTATACAGAGAGAACAATATTGAAGAATGTGGCTTGGAAATGTACTTCTCTGTGGATAAAGAAATTTTAGGTGAAATTAAGAGCCATGATTTGAAACCCAATGGTGGCAATATTCTTGTGACAGAAGAAAATAAAGAGGAATATATAAGGTAGGAGAGAATATTCCTCTTTGCATAGTTTGGATTTTTCTGTTATAAAATTCCCTAGTATGGGGACTAGGAGGGTGGCTCAGTGGTAGAGTGCTTGCCTTGCATGCACAAGGCCCTGGGTTCAATTCCTCAGCACCACATAAGCAGAAAAATCCAGAAGTGGCACTGTGGCTTAAGTTGTAGAGTACTAGCATTGAGCTGAAAAGCTGAGGGACAGCGCCCAGGTCCAGAGTTCAGGCCCCGTGACCAACTAGCCCTATCTCCCCCCAAAAAAATCTCCTAATAATACTAATGAACAGCATTTTTTAAAAAATTTGTGGACTAGCCGGGCGCTGGTGGCTCACGCCTGTAATCCTAGCTACTCAGGAGGCTGAGATCTGAGGATCGCGGTTCAAAGCCAACCC